TTGCTCGTCCTCCTCCTCGTCGTGCTCTTGCCCCTGCTGAAAATGTGGCCCAGGAATGGGAGTTCTGGGAAGTCGAAGAGCACGAAGTTGCCTCCAGTTGGCTACGGGCATTCAAAATGTGGCCGGGGAATGGAGTTCTGGGAACTCGAAGAACACGAAGTGGCCTACAGTTGGCTCCGGGCATTCAAATTCATGCCCAGGAATGGAGTTCTGGGAACTCGAAGACCACGAAGTGGCCTACAGTTGGCTCCGGGCATTCAAAATGTAGGCCCTGGGAATTAGAGTTCTGCGGAACTCGAAGAGCACGAAGTGGCCTTACATGGCTCCCGGGCATTCAAAATTGCCCCGGGAGTGGAGTTCTGGGAACTCGAAGAGCACGAAGTGGCCTACAGTTGGCTCCGGGCATTCAAAATGTGGCCCGGGAATGGAGTTCTGGGAAATAGAAGAGCACGAAGTGGCCTACAGTTGGCTCCGGGCATCCAAAATGTGGCTCGGGAATGGAGTTCTGGGAAATAGAAGAGCACGAAGTGTATGACTGTTGCATCCGGCCCTCCAGAATGTGGCCCGGGAATGGAGTTCTGGGAACTCGAAGAGCACGAAGTGTGTGACTGTTGCATCCGGTTATTCCAAATGTGGCCCGGGAATGGCGTTCTGGGATCTCGAAGAGCACGAAGTGTGTGACTGTTGCATCCGGGTATTGAGAATGTGGCCTGGGAATGGAGTTCTGGGAAGTCGAAGAGCACGAAGTGTGTGACTGTTGGTGAAAAACGAGCCCGGCACCTGCCGCCCGGCAACTCCCAACACCTGCCCGGACCCCCCTGTGGAGTGATCTGCTGCTCTCTTTTGATCCCACTAGAAACCTATCAGTCTTCGCTGTTAGGTAACATGCCATTAACGTAAGATTTTGGCGCTCCGCGCGGATTTCTTGCATCCGCGCTGGGCCCCCCCAGCGGCGTCTCCGGCGCCGCCCTTGCCGCGCGGAGCGCGCCAGGGAAGGGGATCCAGCGCGGATCCAAGAGATCCGCGCGGAACGCCACAATATCATGTCTACTGCATTTTTTCTTCTTTACAATCGTCGTCGTCATCGTCATCGTCGCCGTCGCGGCCCTGTCGGCGCTGGAAGGACGGCCGCCCCCCAGCGGATCACAGTTGTCGTTGTCGCCGTCGTCGTCGCCGCCGTCGTCGTCGTCGTCGTCGTCGTCGTCGTCGTCGTCGTCGTCGTCGTCGTCGTCGTTGCCGTCGTCGTCGTCGTGGTCGTCGTGGTCGCCGTCGCGGCCCTGTCGGCGCTGGAAGGACGGCCGCCCCGCTCCGGGCTTTGGGGGCCGTGCGGTCGGGGCGCAGGGGCAAGATCAGCGCAGTGTAGGGGCCATCATGGCGGGCCACGCGGGCGTCCTTCCATGCCTTTGTGTTTTTGCGCTTTCGCCCGTGGCTCGTTCTGTCATGGCGCCCTCCGGTCTTGCGTCCCTCCCTCCCTTACACGTTTGTTGCGGTGTTTGCTTATGTCCTCCACCTTCCCCAGCCCGCGAAGGAGGAGGAGGGCGGGAGGATCAGGGAGCAGGGAGCAGGGAGGAGCAAGGATGGTGGGGGGAATTCGTGAGGATGCATGCCTTGGCTCAGAGCGCTTAAATTGCAAGTGCATGCCGCGGAAATGGAGCCCGCATGGGTGACCTACCAACGGGGTGTTGTGTGTAACGTGACGTGCAGAGGAGATTTTATTCTATGCGCAGATGGTAAGACCTTGTGGGTTCTGCCACAGCAGTACACGCCGCTGGAAAAAGCATAGCAACACATTGCTGCACGGCCATCGAGCCACTGGACAGGATACTGCGGAGAAGAAAGCACGAGTGAGCAGGCTCGGAGTGCCCGCGACCCACTCCTGTCAGCAACCAGAACAAGCGCAGACTCTGAGCGGAGGCGGCACTCCTGGACGTTCCCGTCCTTGGAAGATAATGTAACAAAAGATGAAAGTCAGCATACGAGGACATTTCGCACATGCTTTCCCCACCGCCAAAAGTTCTGTGTAACCCACACTGGGAACTTGAGTGTGCATATCCGCGACGCAGAGAGTTCTCAGTGACAGAAGCAGAGAAAGATGAGGAGCCCCGAACACACACACAGACACATGACTACGACTATTACACAGTCAATTCTATATGATTATCGTGTTTTGTTTTGCTTGGGATGGGGCGGCAATAGCAATCCACACATGACGACCACAATCTCGCAATTGATGTTTGTTGTGCTGGCCAGCCCCGCATCCCTGGCAGCCCTTCCCAACAAAAAACTGAAAATATACCGAATTGAGTACGTAGTTTAATTTGTTGTTTTGATTTCCCCACTTGTGGGGGGTCTCTCTCTACCTCTTTCACTTGAAATCCCCCAGTAGCGGAAATACTCGTACATTTCTATGTTATGGATTTCAAGTACGTTTCTTATGGTGGATCTGTGCATTCTAGTTATGGCAGGTTCGCAGTTTGGTTTTGATTGTGTGGGATACCACTTCAACCGCCTCCTCCCCATCCTCCGATTATTCCTGGCTGCTCACAGCTCCCACCACGGAGGTCTGGAACACCACATCGCTATGCCGCGCTAGGACGCCGAGAAGTACCACTGTGTCCGCCACGGAGGAGTCGAGCACCACGCTGTTGACATAACCACGGAGTAGAGCACTACCACCTGACACCAAATCAGGGCCCCACCACGACTGAGAGTTCAGCAGTAAAATACGACCGTTTCTCAAAACGCAGTGCGTTGTTTCATTGGAAACGTAGCGTCGGGGCAATTGTGCTGAACGACGCTCTCGTGTAGATGCGAACAGTCCGAAACCTTTAAGGCTGGCGGTGGATCAGGGCCTGCGCCACGGCGTTGAGGCTGCACATGTTCTCGAAGTGGGGCATGCACACGGATGGCAGGTAGAGGTTCGACAGGTCGTTTGCAGCGCAGGCAAGACAATCTACGTAACGTTCTCTCCTTTGCGAACGAGGAGGGGCCTCTGCGGGCGAGGCCAATGATTCTAAAGTCCGCTCAGGCAGAGGGGACCTGTGTGAGGTGCTTGATCCCGACAGGGTCGGGACGCGGGCCTGCCGTTCAGCTGGGTAGATGAATTCCATCGCACCCAGCCGCTCTGCCAGGGCCACCTGTCACGCGTGGCGCACGACGCCTTGCACGTCGCGCAAAGGGTCGATGCCATGTTGCTCCGCGGCGGCCCGGACATTCCAGCGCCAGGGGGCGACGTCGCTCACCTCCCGCGGTGTCGAGAAAGTGCACCGCTTGCCGCACGTTGCGGCATTGGCGCGCGTAGCGCCCCAACCCCCTGCGGACTCCCTGCGGCGTCTGGAAAGTGCCACGCCTGCCTCGCTTTGCGACATTGGCGTGCACAGAGACCCCACCCCTCGCGGACCTCCCCTTGCGTCGAAGAAGTGTTGCACCTGCCAAGCTGTGCAACAATAGCGCGCGCGGTGATTGTCGCGCAAGCACGGCGTGCATGTGTAAGGGAATCCCACGGAGGCCTTCTCATCTTCCTCTTTCGCCCCCATCCCCATACTCGGAGCACCCGAACCTCTGCAGCACTACGTTCACGAGTTTTGAACAAGCGATGACTCCTTAACTCCTGGGTGGACCTGTCTCCCGTCCCCTCTTTCCCCCCCTTTCCCGACGTCTACGACGACGACGACGGCGTCGGCGCCAGCTGCCGTGACGTTCGCGAACGTTTTCCGCTTCCCCCGCACGGCCCGTCCTCCCCCCCTTCCCCCCCCTTCTCTTCCTCCTCCTCCTCCTCCTCCTCCTCCTCCTCCTCGTCCTCCTCCTCCTTCTCTTCCTCCTCTTCCTCCTCCTCCCACACGACGGAAACGCCGTCGCCGACGCCGACGCCGACGCCGACGCCGACGACGACGACGACGACGACGACGACGACGGCGGCGGCGGCGGCGGCGGCGGCGGCTGCGACGACGACGACGACAACGACGTCGACGGCGGCGGCGGCAAGGTTCAGCTCGGGGTCCTTCCCCCATCCCCTGGCATCCGCCGACGGGTCCCGACCGTTCACCTGGCTGCGTGTTCCTCCCGGGATCCAGCTCTGATGGCCCCCGGGGGCCAGGAACGGGACCCGGAGGCCGACATCGGGGAAGAGCGCCGGGATAAAAAAAACATATCGTCGGAGATTCGCAGCCCCCCCCAGGGATGGCGAGAAGGTACGAGACAAGAGAGAGAGAGAGGGGGGAAGAAGGGAGGCGCGAGGAGGAAGGAGGGAGACGGGGGGGGAGGAGGTGGAGACCACATCGCTCCATTCAAAGCGAATGCCCAACCAAAGAGGGCTGAGAAACACAGATCGTCGTAGACCTGGGTGCTGAGGGCCCCGCCCTCAGGGCCCCGCCTTTGAGTTGCGGTGGCCATGCGCAGGAGGCGGCCTACTGCGGCGGGTGCGGGCGGCGCCCGCGCCCGCGGGGGTGCGGCCGAGCATGTGGGGCAAGCTGCAGCTGCTGCGCCTACGGCAGTTCGAGGCGCCTGCCGCGGCAGCTCCCGGGGGGCGGATGCAGGATCGGGCGCAGTGGGGGAGGGGACTCGGGGGTGGAGGAGGACGGAGGAGCGAGGACCGAGGAGCAGCAAGGACCTAGGAGGAGGAGGAGGAGGAGGAGGAGGAGGAGGAGGAGGAGGAGGAGGAGAGGAGGAGGAGGAGCAGGAGCAGGAGCAGAAGCAGGAGCAGGAGCAGGAGCAGTAGCAGATTAATGAGCTGGAGCACGTGCAGCACGAGCAGTGATAGGTTGATGCTGATGATGATGATGATGATGATGATGATGATGATGATGATGATGATGATGATGATGATGATGATGATGATGATGATGATGATGATGATGATGATGATGATGATGATGGTGGTGGTGGTGGTGGTGGTGGTGATGATGATGATGATGATGATGATGATGATGATGATGATGATGATGATGATGATGAATATTATCATTATGATGATGCTGATGCTGATGCTGAGGATGATGATGATGAGGAGGAGGAGGAATGGGAGGAGGAGAGGAGGAGGAAGGGGAGGAGGAGGGGGAGGAGGAAGGGAGGAGAAGGAGGAGGAGGAGGAGGAGGAGAAGGTGGAGGACGTGGTGGCGCGAGGTCAGCACGCCGACCCTCCCCGTCGGACCATACGTTTCAGTTGTTCGTTCCCTGAGCACGGACACGGGCGCCGGCCGCAGAACTCCTCGCGCTCTCCGCCACCGGCGTGGCCGAGCTTGTCGGTCCACAGTCTCATTCCTAGGCCCGACGATCCTCAGAAGGTGTGTTAACCCCAACGTGTGTCGGGTCGGGCGAAAGGGGGGGATAGGGAAAGGGGGGGTTACAACATTTGCTGCATGCAGCTGGTTTCGGCCCCACCGAGGGGCCCATTCCTCGATACATAGCCGCCTCCGGCGCTGGGAGGCGCCTGGAAGATCAGCTACGTGAGCTGATTCTCACCCCCCCCCTTTGCTATCTCCCCCTTTCGCCCGACCCGAGTGTGCTTGTCCATCAAGGCCCTTCGATACGACGCGGGCGATGGAATGATCTACTAGCTGGGCCGAACGGAATAAGCACACATTGGGCTAGCACACGTCCTGAGGATCATCGATGGGCGCGCGGTGCCGCGATCACCGCACTCTCTAGAACGCTGGACTGATGCCGGATCCGCTGGGCCCTGATATTCGCTAGCCGCTTTCACACTGATCCGCTTGGCACACGCCGCATTGATGCGTTATGGCTGTCTGGACGCTTTACCGGGGTCTATGGGCAGTTCTCAGCGCGCGCGGGCATCGCAGCGGCAGCTGCGGCTCCTTGTAGACATACTTCTTGCGCTTACTTCTGACCAGGACGAGCGGTATTCGTTCCCTCCCAAGGCCAAAGGGGGGAGAAGGGAGAGGGCAGAAGAACGGGGAGTCAGAGGAAGCGGAGGAGGAGGAGGAGGAGGAGGAGGAGGAGGAGGAGGAGGAGGAGGAGCATCGGGTCAGACGAGGGAGGTGGGGGGGGAGGGAAGAGGCGTCTGGGGGAAGGGGAAGGGGAAGGGATTGCGTAGGGGAGGAGGGGGAACAGATGATGCGGGAGGGGTCAAATGGAGGAAGTGGATGTGGCCAAGTGGAGGAGGAGGAGATGGAGGAGCAGGACGAGGGAGGGGAAGACGAAGACTACTACGAAGAAGAAGAAGAAGAAGAAGAAGAAGAAGAATGGGTGGGGGGAGGGAGGGCGAGGATGGCCAGGGCCCGCCGCCAGGTCATCCTGTACCTGGACGCCGACACCCTCGTGGTAAGGGCCTCGGCCCGTCCCCCCGCCCCCCGTGCGGCGGCGCGCCCCGGGGGGGAAGCGATAGGGAGACGCCCTTCTTGGAGGGCCGCGGGGCTTCTCAGAATCCCCGCGGGCCCTCCGAGAAGTCCCCCGTGCCTTTGGGGAAGGCCCGCGGAAGACTTCCCGGAGGACGGGGGGGAGGCTTTCCGAGCCTTCTCGGAAGGCCCGCCCCCTCTCCTCTTCCTGTTCCTGTTCCTGTTCCTGTTCCTGTTCCTGTTCCTGTTCCTGTTCCTGTTCCTGTTCCTCCTCCTCCTCCTCCTCCTCCTCTTCCGTCCTCGTCCTCCTCCTCCTCCTCCTCCTCCTCCTCCTCCTCCTCCTCCTCCTCCTCCTCCTCCTCCTCCTCCTCCTCCTCCTCCTCCTCCCCCCAAGAGGCACCAGGGCGCCAGCCTGCGAGGAGGACCCCCCCACCCCCCGGGTGCTCCCCCCGCTCCCCGTGCCTGCTCGGCCCGGGAGGGCCCCAGCCCCCTCGGCCCCTCCCTCCGAGGCCCCCCCGCCCCCCCATCGGGGGCGGCAGCGAGGGGGGCAATGACTAGGACTAGGGGGGGGGGATGGCTATCATGGTGGGGGCCATGATACCTCCCCAGATTTCACGGCGCCTCGTCTCGTTTCCAAACGTCCCCGCCCCCCCCGCCCCTCTTGGGCCGCGCCGGCCACTTGCCGCCGGCATGAATGCGCCCCCCCCCCCCCCTCTTGGACGCCCCCCTCTTTGCCGCCCCCGACCCCCCCTCCTTGCGATCCCACGCTCGCCTGGGCCAAGAGGCCACGGGCCCCGAGCCCGCGGGGGGCGGCAGACGGCGCCGAGGCACGCCGAAGGAGCGCGCGGATTCGCCGTCGGGGGCCTATCGCCGATCGATCGGCGAGGAATCGCCGATTCCAAGTCGATGTCCCCCTCCTGACCCCGTGTTGTCGCCCCTCAAGAAGAGATTATAGCAGTCAGGGGAAGGGGCGCGAGGTATCGCCGATTCCAGGTCGATGTCCCCCCCTCCTGAGCCGGTCCCCCCCTGTCGTAGCCCCTCAAGAAGAGATGAGAACAGTCAGAGGAGAGGGGGCAGTGGGCATTCTCGTGGGGGGCGTGCGCTGAGAGCTGCGTGCGCAGACGTAACCATACACTGGCCATGCCGCGGCAAGCGGGGGACGACTGGGAAGCCAGAGGGGGAACGGAAAGGGACAGGGAAGAGAAGGGGGAGGGCCTTCGCTTGCCAGGTCGGGCCCATCGCGCCGCTGCTCGCGGCCGCGACGGCCGCTGGGCCAGAGCTCGTTTTCGCCGCGGCCCTGGGGCGCGCGCTGTCGTCGCTGAACACAGGCGTGATGCTGCTGCGGCCCAGCGAGGAGGAGCTCAGGGCGTCGCTCCGCTCCCGGGCTGCGCGGGCCCACTGGCCCGGGCGCTCGCGATGGTCGGGGCAGCCCTGGAACGGCTCCGGCCGTGGGCAGGACAGCGACGCGGTGTCCGGCGCCTGGAGGAACGACCAGGAGGAGCAGGACTGGCGCAACGAGTTCGTCGCCGCCCGCCTCGACTTCCACGGGGAGCTCTGGCCCGACCCGGCCGCCCAGCCCACCGCGCCAGATGGCGCGAGGCTCCCGTGCGACCCGCGCCGCCCCTGGCTGGGGCCCTACCGCGCCAACCTGCGTGGCGTTGGCGGCGGCGGGGGCCTGGCAGGCTCCGGCGGCTTCTGCACGCTGCCCGCGGCCTTCAACTTCTGCGCCACGGCGGAGTGCGTGGTGGACCTCGCCGGCGACGCGGTCCGGCGCGCAGCCGTCGCGTCCCTGGAGCCGCGCGTGCTGCACTGGCCAGGGGCGCTACGCAAGCCGTGGCAGAATCGGCTACACGCAAGAGTGACCCTAGGCAAGAGTGACCTCTGGCGCGCGGCTTGCCGTCCGTTGCGCGCCCTGCGCGCTTGGGCTTGGCCCCCACCAAGGCGCCCCCCACCAAAGTCAAGGGAGGAAACACCACCCAGACTGGACAATTTGCGTTTACTGAACGGCCTTGGGCGTTAACTAAACAGCCCTGCCCTGTTCGATTCCTTCTTTGGACGCGTCTACTGAACGACTTCGCGTGTCGGGGTGGTTATTATCGGGGTGGATTTTTTTACCTCTGCAAAAGGCGCCCCCCACCATAGGTCACTCCGGCGAAGGGTCCCTCTCACGTGCAGCCGGCAGAAGTGCGAGCCCGGGGCGCGGTCCTGGCTGGACGAGGCGTGGTGGCGGGCCTTCGATGCCGCCTGTGGCTCGGCTCCGCCGGGCGCGCCGTGCCGCATCAGCTGCGGCGGCGGGGGTCGTGGGCAGAAAAAGTGGCCGGGCTGTGCGGGGATGAGCCGTCCCAGGAGTGCCGAGTCTCTTTCTGGAAGCCACCTCGGGCCAGGGAGGACAGGAGTCGACAGAATATGGACGAGCCGCAGAGTTCTCTGTCTGTGTGATCGGGTTGGGGAGGAGCTCCATGCATTGAGGAGAGGTTGTGGGCTCATGAATCCAATGCAGGATGCTATTGCTACCATCCTGAGTGGTTGAGAGCATGCTGGCTCACAGGAGCATGCACGGGTCTGCACTGCAAGGGACTCGCCCAGCGTTTGCTCAGGATTTGTCGGACGGTTAGCGGAAGTTGCTCAGGCAAACCGTTTCTTAGTCATCCGCTCGGCTGCGCTGAGTCATCCTGTTGTGAAGCTTCTCTCTCGCGGATAGAGCATCCCACAATAACATGTTGAACACGCAGCCCGACAAGCGTTTGCAAGAGGGGTCTGAGGGGGTTGCCTGGAGATTGGTGGGCGCAACAGCGGAGCCAGTGGACGAGGGACACGGGAGCTTGGAAAGCCAGAGGACAAAATGGGACCAGCGCGAGATGAGAGGAGGGGGTACTTGGAGTTAGCGGAGCTTCATAGTAAGGAGAAAGAGACAGAAAGGAGGATGAGGCGGAGGAGGAGGTGGAGGAGGAGGAGGATGATGAGGAGGAGGAGGAGGACAAGGAGGACAATGAGAAGGAGGACGAGGAGGAGGAGGAGGAGGAGGAGGAGGAGGAGGAGAAGGGGAGGAGGGATGACGAGGAGGGAGGAGGAAGGAGGAGGAGGAGAAGGAGGAGAGGAGGAGCAGGAGGAGGACGAGGAGGGGGAGGAGGGAGGTGGTGAGGAGGAGGAGGAGGAGGAGGACGAGAGGAGGAGGAGAGGAGGAGGAGGAGGAGGAGGAGGAGGAGGGGGAGGAGGGAGGAGGAGGAGGAGGAGGAGGAGGAGGAGGCGGAGGAGGAGGAGGAGGAGAGGAGGAGGAGAGGAGGAGGAGGAGGAGGAGGAGGAGGAGGAGGAGGAGGAGGAGGGGAGGAGGGAGCGGGGAACGAGGAGCAGGCGGAGCAGGAGGAGGAGGAGGAGGAGGAGGAGGAGGAGGAATAGGAGGAGGAGGAGGAGGAGGAGGAGGAATAGGAGGAGGGGAGGGGAGTAGGAGGAGGAGGAGGAGGAGGGGGAGGAGGAGGAGGAGGAGGAGGAGGAGGAGGAGGAGGAGGAGGAGGAAGGATGTGGAGGACGGGACGAGGAGCGGAGGAAGGAGCAGGAGGAGGAGGAGGAGGAGGAGCCAGCGGGAGGATCGGGAGGAGCGGGAGGGGTGGAGGCGGAGGGGGGCAGGAGAGGGAGGGAGCACGCAGCCTGAAGGAGTCCGCCGCGCAGAGCGGAGGTTGAGATGGAGGAGGCGGGGAAGGAGGGAGGAG